CCCGAACCCCCCGGAGCCGTTCCCGGTCTCTCTGGGAGCTCCCGGCGCTCCTCAGCGGCTGTTCCGAGTCGCACGTATTTCTATGAACCTGTACTGGACCGTGCAGAACAAATCCCAACACAAACTATGACATTCAAAGAAAAAAAAAAAACAAAACAACCCAACAAAACAAAAATCAGGAGAGAGCAAGAGGCCCTGTTCCGTAAAGGGTGCCCTGTTCCAGATGTGCTGGAGGAGCAGGAGCTGCATTCCCATTCCTCCGCCCTTACCTTCCTGTGCTCCTCAGCTTGCAAGGACTCGCTGCCCTCCAAGGCCGGGAGGAGGAGGAGGATGGAGCCCGTGGGGCTGCCCAGGTGCCAGGAGGGTGTCCCTGGGTGCAGGAGAAACTGTCTCATCATTGTGCACATCTGGCCACTGAGCAGCTCTGCCCCTGCGTGCCTACAGGGCACTGAGCTCTCTCCCTCCTCTGGGATCCTCCAAAGTTCCCCTTCCTGCTGCTCCCTTCGGCTGGAACAACTTGTACCACTTAAAACAGGAACTACACCTCATTGATAGGTAAATGGAAGAGGCTCTGCAGCCTGGAGGGCTGAAAGAGCCACTTTCACCTGAGGGCCAGCAGAACAGAGCGGCCAGTTAGCAGCACTAATGAAGTGAAGAATTTAGCGGTAAACGAGGGACCCCGAGCAAAAAAGGCATTTTTGGCTGGAGCAGGCTCTCTCCTGCTACTTGGGCTCAGGAAATGATGGCAAAGCTCTGATCATTGCTTGTACTAAGAAACAGCTGCAAAAAATGGACTTCTCATTCCTTGAGAAATTCTGACAGAATCTGCTTTTATCAAAAGTAGTTTAGGAACACTGAAACATCTCATTTTGAGAATTTAGGAAATAGTGCTGTGTTCCAGGAAAGAAGTGTAATTCAGGCATCCTGATTTGCACCCAGGTGTGACATCCACGGGCACAAGTCTCTGGTTGGAAACCAAACTGTGCCAGTGCCACTTCATTTTCCATGGCAAGATCATAGGAAAGTCTCAGAGCCTCTCTGTTTGCAGAGCAGCAATGGGTGTGTTTGACTTTGGCAGTGCTGTGATCCTTCTGTTCCAGGATGGATGCAATTGGAATATCACAGGCAGGGAAGGTGAGGTCTTGGGAAACTCTTGCTCAAGAGTTGGAGAGCTCTCCAAAGGCACCAGCAATAACACTGCAACAAAACTACAGTCAGGATTCCAGTTATTTTCCAGTTATTGCAGGTCAGCAATTGCCACATGGCAGCAGGTATGTGCTGTGGTGGTCACCCCAGGGATGGGTGTCCTGGAGAATCCCACACTGATCAGTGGGTTTCACTCAACAGTAGCTGCTGAGCCTGCCACAGTTCCCAGCTCTTGATCCAAGCAGCAAAGCTCACAGTTCAGCACGCCTTGGCTGCTAAATCTGACCACATGCATGGCCTGGACAGTTCCTGAACTTGGCTCAGGGAAGGTCTTTGCTGGCTGCCTTCTCTCTTCTGTGGCTGACGTCCACACTGATGACAACAGCGCCTGAATGGGAAACCAAGAGTGAATTTTAAATTGAAATACAATTGAGCAGCAAATACAATTGCTGGCAAACCATTTTTTATTTTAAAAATGTAAGAAATCAGGGAGAAGGAGGAAAAAAACTAAACCAAATGAAAATGCCAACTCTAGTCTAGGCCACTAAATTGCTTAATCCATGATATAAGACCTCTTAGAAAGCAGCTGCCCAAGAAGTGCTGCTCTTCCAACAGACCTCTTCCAGACTGCACATGGATTTTTCTGAGTGAAGCCTGTGCAGCCATTTCCCTCCATAATTATGTAGCCCACTGCTTCTTAAATCTCTGCCTTGTCTCTAATGTCATAGCCATTTATTGCTGCCTTTCCCACAGGGAGCTAACATTTTCTTGTTGAATAACGAGCCCCTTTGCACCACACACCATTCGGGCTGTCCCAAGACCTCTCGTGCCCTGTGAAAAGCCCAGCCCAATTAACCGTGCCTATTTCTGGCTCCATTGTTCATCCCAGCAGCCTGTGCAGGACCAGGCACTCTGCCCTCATGTGCAGCTCACATCCCACTCTGTTCCATGTCCTGTGCTCAGGGGTGACAGGGCAGGTGGCAGGGGACATGTGGGACATGTCCCAGTGCTGCTGGCAGTGGTGTTGTCCCACCTGTCCCATCCTCCCTGCCCACCCTGGGCACACTCTGGTGCTGGAATTTGCCTTTCCCTGCATGCTGCCCTGGGGAAACAGGCAGGCACGGATGGGATAATAGAATATATTAGCCCTGAGTCCATTCAGGCCCTGGCTCTTTATGAACAAAGCCTGCTAACTGAGCTGATTTTTGCCAAATGACTGGCTTTCGTGCATGAGCAGCAAAGTGGAGCCCCCAAAGACTCCCATGCAACGAGCGCTGTTGCCCAGGGCTCTTTGTTTTGCTGCTGCACTTGAGGGCATGGAGGAGTCACGGCCTTGCCTGCCCTGGCATTTCTTCTCCAGTTTCCCACCACTGCCTTAGCCCCATCTCAGCCCCAGCAGAGGCAGCAGGGATGGGGGAGATGAGACAAACTCAGGGACAGGGATGCCCGCATTGTCAGATGGGATGCACCAGCAGAGGCAGCCCAGCTACCATGTCCCTGCATGGAGAGCCCACCATGCCAGCCCTGCAGCAGGACAGCTCCTGGACACCCCCAGGGAATATTTCCTTTAGGTTAGACCCCCCTCAGCCCAGCAAGACCTGCCAGGGTCAGTCCCTGAGGAGATATTGGTTTTGCCATTTTGTTTTCTGGCTTTCTCAGCAGATTGCTCCAAGACTCCAACAACACTGATGCAGCCAGGAGCATTCCCTCACCCCATGATAAGGACAACCCTCATGATAACCTCCTGCACAGGGAGGTTTTGCAGCTGTGGGGACCCACTCTGATGCCTCAGCCAGGTGCCCAGTGCCCCTGGGGCTGCAGAGACACCTTCACCAAAAGCTGGCCAGGATCAAGGCACGCAACAATTCCAGCTGATGTCTCCTGTTTGTGTGAAATTAGCACCAATAAATGCTATAACTACACATGACCAACAACAGATTTACTAGCTAACATATAAAGGACTGCAAGAGCAAATGCCTTCAGCACTGGTGAAACTCTTGACCGTCTGCCCCGAGTCCCAGGAGGGAACCGATGGCAAATGTTTACAGGGGCTTATAAATATTTATCCTGTAATAACTTGCTGCATTACAGCACATTCTTCTCCACAAGGCTCAGCTTTGCCCTGGACCAGGTGCAGGCTGCTGAGAGGGTCTGTGGCACATATAAAGTTTGCCTGAATAGCATACAGCAAGTGCTGGTGTTCAATAAAACAGCAGCAGCCGAGCTGCACGCGTGAAAGGCACTGCAAGCCATTCCTTACCCAACAAAAGAAAAATGTGGCTGGGGAGCACAGGTGTGCAGGCACCTTGGTGTGGGTGCAAACCCCTTCTGGCTTGCCAGAGTAACCTGGGGAAGCGCTGCAAGTCACTGGGGAGGTGTAAATCACACTGCTGGGCTGGCCTGATGGAGGTTTTGGCTCAAGAGTGGCCCCGTGCTGCCTGAGAATGTGGGGAGCTCAAAGGAAGGGAACAGGAGCCCATCATGAGGAAACGTTTCCTTATGCTTCTTGCTCTTCAGCAATCCTATCTGCTCGCTTCCCTCTATAATTTTTGACCCATTTATTTATTTATCCTTCTGTCCACTTAGTTATTTATCCTTCTGTCCACTTATTTATTTATCCTTCTCATGCTAAATGATTTTCAAGAGCATAAGATACCAGTGGTTTGGAAACCATGTGATAGTCTCCAGTCTGGAGCAGAGATGGAGTTCAGAGCTACTTTCTAACAGGAGTAAATAAGCAGATTGGAAAGGCTCCATTGTGTATATTCTAGGTTGCTATTTTCTTAACCCTGTCTCATTAAGATGGATGGAGTTTCTGCTTATTAGTAATTTGGCAAGTTCCTCTTTGTGTACACTCTGCACTTCTCACTAATGACGCTGTGCTTCAGTGATTAACAAAAGAGACTTCCAGCACAGTCAGTGAAAACACAGCCACGCACTTGGGGCACTGGGACAGAAATCCAACATTCTGGAGGTGCCCTCTGTGGAAGATTGCAGGGAACCCAGCAAAGGAGGAGCTGCTGGTCATAAAACCTTTCATGTCACTCAAATAATTTTTGACCTGAGGACATTGGTTCTTTTATTTATATGCAGAGCTGACAGAGCCTGCCACAAAGTGATTCAGAGCCCTTCCT